CCCCAAAACCCCAAAACCCCATAATTCATTAATTATACAGTTAGAGTATATTTAAAATTGTTAATAATTAAATGCTTAGGGGGTAAGCTAGTTATTTACTGCTTGAGTTTGTAAAGCTAAAACACGATATAAAGCTGAGCCTTCTTCATAAAGTCCTCTTTAGTGTCATTCACTATCACTTTGTTGATGAATTTAAGTGATTTGATCTCACTCATCTCAGCCTTAAACTTATTTTGCTTCAGTGTCATTGAGTGCTGAGTGTCCTTTCCTGGTCTGTTTCTAATCAGTCTCACTGCCAGTTCATCAGTTGTTGGTGGATGCACATATATAAAGTTGCAAGGCAGCCTTTGTTTAGCATAAATCTACTTGGCACCATCGAGTGAAGTTTCAATTATTCCAATCTAAATCAAATGTTAAGAACATTCTAAAGTAGCAAAGAAATCAGAATCTTACCTTAAATTCATTTCTGAGCCTGCTAGCTTCTTCAAATAAGACTCCATTCCAAATGGCATTAGCTTAAACCCCAGAGCCATAGTTATAATTAGTCTAAACTGCAGTGTTGATCATTTACTCCTGAGTAAGATACAATAACTTATCCTCTTTTTGCCAAGCAGTGAAATCATTCTAGCTAGCTAGTCTGTAGTGCACATTCTCAATCTCCTCTCTCTCAAATTTGGTCTTAGTTGTGAATGGTGGAATGAACTAGAATATACTTGGATTCGAAAAGATAAAGTGTTCAATGAGCATTGTCTAATGAGAGATATTAGAATCAAATCTACATTCATACCTTGCCAGAACATGGTGGTCCACACAACACTAGCAAATTCTGAGGTTTATCTTTGACCATCTTGATTTTCATATCCATTAAGGTTCTTTCTTATTCTGCAGTTGCCATATCTCTTATAGGCGTAGAGCATAATTAGACCTTAAGGAACCGGTATCCTAAGATCTTTCTGAGATTTAGTAGCATATTGTATTATTATATTTTAACAATCACAAATATTATTTCATTGTGAACAATATGCTTGGGGTTTTGGGGTTTTGGGGTTTTGGGGTTTTGGGGTTTTGGGGTTTTGG